TTCTGCTGCAGAGTGCTAAGCGATCTGGGCTGGGAGGTGCGGCGGGTGGTTTGGTTTGAGTGGGTCGGCCTACAAAGCAAACAGGAAAGAATTGATTTCCTAAGGTATCCTGCTGCTGCAGCTGTTGCTGCTGCTGCTATTGCTGCTGTTGCTGATGATGCTGCTACTGCTGCTTCTGTTGCTGTTTCTCCTGCTGCATGGGTTCTTGCTGGTGTGGAGAGTTGCGGGGCTGGGGCGGAATACATGCATGCACTCCTGCTATAGGAGACGTCACCAGCAGTAGATTTGTTGCCTTGGAGGAGCAGCAGCAACAGCAACAGCAGCAGCAACAAGGGCAGCAGCGGGAGCAATTGCGTGTGTGGGTTTGCTGCAGCAAGCTGCGTGCCGCCCCCGCCCTTCCCTCTTTCTTGCCGGACCCTCTCCCTGCATTGTCACCGCAGGAGGTGCAGCAACGGCTGCAGCAGGTGAAGCAACGGCAGCAGCAGCAGCAGCAGGAAGCTGCAGCAGCAGCAGCAGCAGCAGCTAGGGAGTCTGCTGTCGAACTGGAGTTGTAAGCTAACGGCAACTTCTCACCAGCAGTGCAGACTGCTGAAAAGCTGCAGAATATGTTGCTGCTGCAGCTGCTGCTGCTGCAGCTGCTGCTGCTGCAGCTGCTGCTGCAGCAGCTGCTGCTGTCTACTGCAGCACCAGCCGCTGCAGCTGCTACTACTGCTTTCTACTGGATCACCAGCTGCTGCAGCAACTGCTGCTGCAGTAACTTTCATCCTTTTATGCTTTAGGTAGAGGGATGCTGGGCAGGAAAACAGCAGAAGGAGCAAGAGCAGCACGTAGCTGCTGCTGGCTGCTGCTCTGCTGCTCCTTAGTTGCTGCTGCGGCTGCATCCATCTCCTTTCTTCTGAAACTTGTCTTTGTTTCAGTTTGCCTGTCCCTCTCTGTCTTTGTTTCTACCCGTCTTTTCCTCTGTTTCAGTTTATATCCGGCTGTGTCTGTCTCTGTCTGTCTCTGCTTCTGCTTGCGTTTGTTTTTCTCTCCTTTTGGCCTTCGCGTACTGACCAACAAGTGCTGGTGCACGTGCTGCTGCTGTTGCTACTGCTGCTGCCTGCTGCATAGCTGCACAGACACCGCAACTGGCGGAGAGCAGATACAAAGTGCAGCACTTAATAAAACAGCTATGCTGTTGCTGCGGCTGCTGCTGCTGCTGCTGTCCATCAACAAAGAATTATCATTCGGGCTACAGCCAGTCATCGATGTCATCCTCTGCCACCTCCTGAAGCTGCCGCTGCAGATGCTGCTGCATTTGCTGCTGATATTGCTGCAGCTGGGAAATAAAATGATGCCTCTGTTTATGCTGATGCAACTGCTGCTGCTGCAGCTGCTGCTGCACTGGTAGGATTTGCTGCGGCGGCGTCCGTGCCTGCTGGTGCAGCTGCTGCACTCTCTGGTGTTGTTGTTGCCACTGCTGCGGCAACGGCTGCTACTGCTGCAGCTCCTGTTGGTGCAACTGCTCTTCCGCAGCAGCACTGCGAACAGGGGGGGATGGTCTGTATTGCTTCTCAGGAGCTACGCAGACTTTTCTCAACAAAGCAGCAGCGTGCAGAAGGCAACGTGCCAGCAGAAAGTAAAGCAGCTCGTCTTTGTTGTTTTTTAGGGTTTAGGTTTAAGTGTTGCTGCGCGCGCAGGGGGGTATCTCTCCCTTGGCCTCCAGAGCAGCAATAAAGGCATTTGTGCCTGCTGCAGCTATATCTGCTGCCCCTACTACTGCTGCTGCTGCAGCAAAGTCAAGGAAGGCCAGCTGCTTCTCTAGGCAATGTTGCTGCTGTTGGTACTGCAGCGTAGTTTCTGAGAGAAAGCACCAGCAACAGCCGCTGCAGCTGCAACAGCAACGGGGCGTCGATGCCCCTATATATTCAAGTTCTTGCAGTGGGCTGCTCCATCTGCAGTGACTGGAGCAGCAGCAGCAACTCTAGCAGCAGGGGCCGAAACAACAACGCTGCAGCAGAAGCTGTAGCCGTAGCTGCAGAATGGCACACATAGAATGGCTTCGACGGAGCAACCGCAGCCGCAGCAGCTATAGCAGCAAGATGTGCGTACACACGGCACTGGCCATTTGCAACTTTCTGTTAAGTGCGAGAGTTGCATGCCAACAGGAGGGAGCTGCAGAAGCCAAGCGACCAAAAATATTTAACCCTAAACTCTGAAATCTAAAACCTCAGGAAATTTCGGCAAATGATTTTACTTGCTGCTTCTCTTTCGTGTTACCTACAAGTACCTCTATAGAGTCCACTTCGTGCATATGAATTTCATCCAAGTCTTCGATATCAAAGTGTATCTCTGCAATCGCGTCATAATCAGGAGAAACGACAGTTGGGGAACCAGTGGTGCACGGCCGTCGTGGTGTGGGCAAACTGCTGATATCTTTGCCTTTTTCCTGTTTGTCAGATGGGTACAGGTAAGGCTGCCACTGGAAGGCTGTGTGCGGCTTGTCGAGCAAAACATACATAATTCGCTCTGTTGCAGCTTCTACGCATTTCGCCTACGATATTTTCTTTTTTTTTGCTTCCTTCTTTGTCCCCACGTTACTTCGTGTCAAGCTGCGCTTCGTGTCAGAGTCCACACACACAACGCGCATCGGTGCACCCTAATCACCTCACACTGGAAATAAGGACCCGTTGCTGCTGTTCATAGACCATGCAGGTACCTCTACTGTTGCAGGATTTGCACACCAAGGCTTCTGCATCTTCGGTGCTTACATCCTGCACGAAACAACGAGCAGAGCTGCTAGGGCACACGCGACAGCCAACGGGCAGAAAAGCAGTCACGGAATACTCCCCCCAAGACAAAGTGCTCAGCAACGACCCCGCCACAAGTAGCACTCACTAGCACGATGAACTGTGTAATCGTTGCGTTCGTAGGGGAGCGGAGTTAACGACAAGCCTAAACTCCGCTCTCATGATAGCCGATATTCAATGAAACGAACAGCGCATGCCTCTCCAGCTTCCAATGCAGTGTCCACGCATTTCAACGTTACTTCGGTGCTAACTGTCAAACTGCTGTGAAATACTTCTGCCTCCGTGATTTACACGGTCGATTCGTGAGCTTGACTTCAGGCAGGCAGGCGGTGAAATCAACGGGCTAGAATCGGGACTTCCTACGAAAATATTTCCCAGTGAATGTGTACTGAAAGCATCTCGCTTACAGCCGGGGTTAAATTCATGCAATTCCAGTAAAAGCTGGGATATATCAAATTGGAGATGGAGCCCAACACCCTCAAATGATTCTGACACGCCCCAAAACGTTCTATAATTTGTGCCAACTGCTAAGGGGTGCTGGGTCTCTGCTGTTCACTGTGGCGCTGGGCCTCTGATGTTCAGTGCGGCCGCCCAGAACAATCTGGAATAAGGCTAGGAAGACACTGGCCTCTTAGACGTTAAGAATAGCACCTGCTGTGTCGTGGCACCAGTAACGCATTCACTGGCTTGAGGTGTCCTGATGACGTTCCACGCCTGCTCAAGTAGTGGTATTCGGTACAGCTTTCCAGAAGCTATGGGCAGCTCCGTCCGTTGTCTCAGAGGGTAGTATTGCCGCAGGTGTCTGTTGCTTCGCTTTTCGCTTTGGTTTCTCCTAGGTCACCTTCCAACCAATCATCCTCCACAGCTCGAGAGTTGGAAATTGCGTGTTTCCTTCCTTTGATGTCTCAATACTGCACCAGCTCAGCACGTCCCACCCTTTCATCGCCTAGTGCCCTCGTCAGAGCCCAGGGACTTCCCGATTGCCTCTCTAACAGGGGCAATCCTGCTATGAGCCATTGATATAGAGGTGCCCAGGATCATCATTGAACTTCTGTTGATTAAGGACTAATACTTCTCGATTCAGCCGCATTTCGACAGCTGCCGTTGCTCATATTGATTCCTGCACAACCTGTTCTGTCGCTGACACGGGTATAAACCTACAACGCAGAGCATGTCGAAAAGCTTTCACAGTCCGAATGCGCTCATGTAAAGTGGTATCCTTGCTTAGGTATAGCCACAGTTGTATCAACTCCCATTCAAATAACAAGAAATACAACACCAACCGTAGCTTTTCTGGTGTTTCTTGAAGACGAAGGTGCAAATGCGGAGAGGCAAGGAAGCCTTACATTGGCACCGCCCGCCGTATCGGGACTGTGAGCAGAGACATGATTTCTGATGAATTGTTTTCGTGGCAGCGATATTTTGCGCCAAAATGTTTGCAGAAACTGCGCTTGTTCCAGCGCGGAGACGCGTTCAGCCATTGGTTACCTCCTTACTTGAGGGTGAGGGTAAAGCCTGATCAATCTCCACTAGGCGAAGCTCCGGCCGATGCAGCATTGTTCAAGTTGACGTATGTACTTGTACTGGCTACAGCTGGCTACCAGCGGCCAGGTAGGTGTTCTGCAACTCTCTGTAGTGCTAGAGCACGTATCAACGGGCGAGGTGGGTATGCTTGCATGCCCGGTAGCCTACCAGCAGAAGTTGCAGCACGATAAGGTATAACTCATAAGGGAGTAGTTGCATCCCTCACCAGCCCAGGGCCATCGGCCAGTGCTCCCATGCCACCTGTGGACTGGGAGTGCAGTTCAGGAGCTAGGTGTAAAACACATCTTCGGTATTCTGATACCTTTCACGACGTTCCTTCCCTTAGATTAGCCACTGTCGTCACACGGACGCACGGTAATATATGATACAAAATGTCAATTAAGTAAAATGATTGTATTTGAAGGGAGAGCGTATTCTGCATCATATTTTCTCTACATTTCTGTATCAAAACTTCCCGCGGACCACGCATAAACCACCAATAAGACCGACCATCTTGCACTCGTTCTAGTGGTAAGCAGCTCCGCGGGAGTCTTTACTTGGCAAATTTCCCTTTGTTTCATGAATAACCCTTAGTCTCATGAAATTCGGAAAGTAAATTCCGGAATGATGAGGAAACATGCATAACCGTCACACCGGCCGCGGAAGACACGCAACATGGTCACGACCCGTCTGACGTGAACGGGCTGAAGCCCACAGGACACACAACACCTTGTTCACAACAACATTGAAAATATGTGTACACAAGTTTGCCGCCTTAAACCGAAAACTGTAAGACTTCCGTTTGACCTTCCAAATGCTTCTACTCTCACCACTTTTGGTCGCCACTCTGGCGCTATTATCGGAGGCTGCAGATGGCGATGAAGTGCCTGCCGTTCCTATTCCCAGCCCTGAGAGCAGCTCCCTAGACGATCAAGCTTTCACGTTGGATGAGATTGCGGCTCCGCGAAGACAGAGATGGGAACAGAGGAATTTACCACCGATAGCGGCCGCCGTACTGGTTGCAACGGCCGCTACGGTGTTTTGCTTTTCTCGATTGTTCAAATCCACACAATCCAACGAAAAGTCAACAAGTCACAAGGCGAATGCGCTGCCTGTGAGGCCTTCTCGTGTTCGTTGGTTCGCCTTTTCTTCTACACGTGGGAGGAGTGTCATTCGATACGCTGGCGGTGTCCAGAAAGCGATCCATGCAGGGGGGGAAGACTCGACGTTATCTACGTCCATTAAAGGAGTGCTAGTTTACGTGCATGCCGATTATGTCGGAGGCGCGTACAGTTTCTATCAGCCTTCTACAGACGCCACGTTGCAATGTCCTGTTGCGACCGTGCTGTGTTCGGCCTCGCAAATACGCACACAGTGTAGCTGATAGTTGATAGTTGGGGATCTGCGCAAACGTCAGCAGCCAGCAGCATGCGCTGCGACTGTAGGACTTTCTGAGGGCATGTTTTTTCTTTGGGCCAATTTTCTACGCGAATGGTATCGTATGCGCCGTGCGAAGGCAGGTAATGGTATGTGTTCAGATGCATGCGCGTCTCTAGGGGAAAATACGCGACAGGATCAAGAAGGGATCGCTTCGCTATGACGGGGCACTCGTCTGGTGTTCTTCACGGCGATGTATAACTTCGCTTGATCTGCATTTCTCTGACAAGTTCTGCCACTACAACATCTTGCCTTCATTGGGTTGGGCAGTGTCTCGCAAGACAGTAGTATGTGGAGTGGATCTCAGAAGACCCAGACGTGCAGAAAGCGAATATCATGCTGCTATACCTTTTAGAGGCCTGCTGTACATGGGCACGCTTGAGCATGCACGCAACGTAGTGAAGGCAGCCATTGGGCTTGGTGAGCCTGGCGAAAATGCGTGGTTCTCGAGAACACTGGCTAGATGTAGTGGTGATTCGGTTTCGCCGCCATAAATGTTTTGTAGCGCCTAGTAGTAGCAACGACTACGAGGAAAAAGCCCATTGCTGTCCGCGTGAGAGCCTTTTCCTTTCCGTTCGAACCCTTTCCGGATGTCATCAACACTTCAACAGAGACCGGCACGCGTGCTGTCGTTATCGACCCATGTAGAAGGGCTAATAAGCTTTACAAATGTCCCCTGAGGGAGGGCTGGTTGCAGCGCATGCTATTTACGTTGCGAGTGTATACATTACACGCGCCTATTTATGGAGGCATTGGAATTATTAGACTGTGACAGCGATTTATTCGTGGAGGCGCTGATTACCCTCACATATTCGCACAGAAGATCAGCTGTCTAAAGTGCTGGTTGCCAAGAAGTGGGTTCTCCCGTTGTATGCTTCCTGAAAATTGCCACTGCATTGGAGGAGCTCTTTGTTGAGCTGTTGCATCGGAGTTTAGAGCTGGCCACACCAGATGGATAATTGAGATTTGACGTTTCAGTACGTCTGTGTTCGAACGCTAAGGTCAGCTTAACAAGTTGATTGAGAGCATCGACTGTACTGGCTGCTATGCGGAATTATGTGCGAGCCGATGGAAAAAGACTGAATCGAGGAGTCAACGATTACCATCACCTGTTCGTAAATAAGGACAGATGTCTGTGCAAGTACGAGTTGTCAAGAACTGGGTTCCCCCTCTGCAGTTGCCCTCTTGACAATATGCCACTGCATTAGAGGGGTTTTTGCTGAGCTATGGGGTATTGCTCTCCACGTTAGATGGATGATTGGGCCTTAATGCTTCGGTGTGTCTGTACATGGACGCTACGGTTCGCCCAATAAGGTGGTTGGGAACATCGATCCTGCTGGGTGCTGTCTGCAACCACCGGACAGCGGACCAGAGGTGGCCGCGCCGAGCGGAAAGGTCATTAACGCGGAACCGAGGGGCGTGATAACCGAACCCGCTGTGTTTCGGTAGAACGCCGTCCTGTGGGTCGTGGATGTAGCGTGCATCAATTGTGGGGACCCTGTTTGGGTAATGATTTGGGTGTCTAGGCGGTGAGTCAGTGAAACGCTCAATTGCAGTTACCGGAAGCAGCAATCATGGCAGTCTTTCTCGGCGGTGAAAGTGGGCATACCTTTTGATTAGCGCGAAGCAAGAGCCAGTATGCCCTGTGGAAAGTTCACGGGGTCGCGTTGTTTGCTTCAAGATTGGTTATGCCACTAGCAGTGCGGAACGGACGACCACAGCCAAAGCCTAGACGGCTACGTGGTACAGA